ATCAAGCGCTTTTGAGCCGCGAAAAAGGGATATCCGCTGTGACCACAAGCTCCGCCATCTTGTACTCTAAAGGACTTTCTGCACCTTGGTTGATCGCGGACGCTGTCTTTAAGGCAGAGTAGAACCGTAGATGATGAAATCTGGATGTTTGGATAAAATCTGAGTCACAGACAGGATGCTTTTCATTTGACGATTGCATTGTTATAATAGTTGAGGTTGTGATGGAAAAACTTTAAGGTGTGTCCTGCCAGAGTAATATGCTGCCTTACAAATGCAATTATTGATGGAAACACCATTCATGAGGAGGCAGTGAGGCGACGAGTGAGTGGGGAACAAAATTTCACCATTCCTGATGCAATCCGTGCATGTAAAAACTCCGTCATGGTGGGTTCTAACTTACTCATACTAATATCGAAGTCACTAACATTCTTGTTTACATTCACACGCATCCCGCGGTAATCTGAGAAGTGAGAACCTTCCCTAGCACGGTGCAGTATCGTTGGGCGAAGGGGGGTTGTGGGGGGGGGGGTGTGCTTGGCCGCTGGGAGGGGCATAAACGCAAGGTCATTGAGCACTAAACAGCACAAAAGTGTCATCGCTAAGTTGATGGAGGACTTAAAAATATAAAACAGTTGATTAGCAATATCACTGTAATTATATAGATGACTGAATAATACATCTTAAACAGATTCGTGCGTATCGACCTTCCAAACCCTACACAAACATCTGATTGTATGGACAGAAATCGCCTTTCAGCCACTCTGCTAGAAGCGTAAATGCACGGCGCACACTCGCCCCTCACAATCGATCGATGATAAACAAAGTTTTGATTCACTTTCAAACGGGACTATGCCATTTTTGAAATCCATTGAAACATTCGCGAATGAGTTCCCTTTACAATGGCCTCGGAGCTTTTGTGAGTGGCTCTGGTATGTCCGCCACAAGGGTGACCCAGTCTAAAAATAGAAATCGTTCCTTACTAGTGGATCCTCAAGAAAAGCTGTGGAGCTTGTGATATAAGGAAAATATTGTGCAAGTCGAGAAATACGTGTCTTTAGTTTCGCAAAAAGATTGGCATAGATTGTTCTCGTCCTGAAGAATAAAAACACCGGTCCAAGTTTACCAAACTAAACGGACCATAACCCAGCCCGAAATATTTTACAAACGTCGGGAATATTTTTAATGGTCTGAGGTAGCAGAAGACGCAACAATAGAGAAATCGCTTCAACATGCTGTCTTTACTTTCTCGAAAGCCCCACACCAGAGAAAGCCATCACCCCCAGAACAAGCCCCTCGTTTCCCACCCGGCCAACAGATCTGCTCCACCGTTAATTTGCCATGGAATTATTACGCGGCCACCAGCGCTTGTGAGTCGTTATGTATCTAACAAGCTTGGCTGACGCGCACTACTGCGCGTATGGTTGAACCTATGGTAATGGTACTGCGCTGACAGGATTCCTGTATTGACCCCGAACACTTTGCCCGATTACAATTTTTTAGAATACGGCCTATTTCATTATGATTCTCCTATTTAATGAACGTTTGCTAATGTCTATCACATTTCTTAAGAAAACACTCAGACCCATCACTTTGGGAAATAGGACAGCTAGCGGTTGAAAAGACTTTTTGATGATAATAGACAATCGATATCATGGTGATATATCCTCACATTTCTCACATCCTAGTACTTCCGTTGAGCAGCTTCCAGAGATTTTAATTTTCGTCGAAACTCGAGAGCTTAGCGGTCGTAACGGCAATCAATCGCTAATGTGGATAGAACTGACTCACGCAGGCCTCCTAAACCATTGTTCCTTGGCAAACCGGTCTGAAGGTTTATTCGAGTTTCGCTGCATTTTTGTGGCTCTTATGGTGGTCTTAATCAGCTGTTATCACTTCCTGTCACCCACCAATAATGTTCCCATCCTGCCCCTATCTAACTTCTTGAAATCAACGTCCCATCGCTGTGTGGCCGGTGTTACCTGAAGTCAGGTTAACTCCACCTCACTCTTTTTAAGGCCCCTTGTGGTATCTTATCAGCTCTTATCACTTCCTGCCACCCACCAATAATGTTCCCGTCCTGCCTCCTATCTTACTTCTTGGAACCAACGCTCTAGTCTTGCTGTGACGCGCGTTATGAATTTGCTGACTTCGCCTTTATACGGCCCCTTATGGTATCTTATCAACTGCTATCGCTTCCTGCCACCCACCAATAATGTTCCTGCCCGACCTCCTACATCATCTATCAGTTTGAGCGCATTATCGCTGTTTTGAAGGAAGTTATGAATTTCCGGTCAAACACACACACAGACAGACATTCACTACAGACACATACACACCAACAGACAAACTTAGCGGATTATATATAGTAGGATCCTTCTCGTCAGAGCAAACAATAAAAGCCGGAAAGGGGGGAGGTCCTAACCAAGGTCCCTTTTCTAGGCCATTTCGACCCTATTCCCTGGTACAAATATGGAGCGCAGGAGCGCAATTACCTAAGCGGTTACTATTGCCAATGGAGTGTGCCTAGCAAATGCGCACAAGCTCACAAATAACAGAAAACAGCCGGGTATGGCACGACCAATTGGCACTAGTCTGAAAGGCTAGCAGGGTGCTACATAGTGGGGAAAAGGCAAAAAAAAAACGAAAAAAGGTCAGAAACCTGCGAAGGAACTCCTTCGTTCATAACGGCTCGAAACGCAATTTCGGACGAGTTTTCCGTCAGCATCTTGATGATAACCGCTGGTAGTTACGGTTGCACGTATAGTGTAGTTCTCTACGAACGGTTGGGCGTGTCAGTGCGGCTGCGTTTGGCGTGGTGAAACCTTTCCCCAGTTTTAAGAGAGACAAATTATATGACTGTTATTAGCATCGATCGCATTACTCCAGCTTTCTATACCATTTTGGTCGCATGCGCGCTCCAACAAGCAGGCAGAGAACGGCCTCACGCTGTGCACGCTCATACTGGCTGACACGATCAACCGTCCGCAGCGAAGTAGAGTATGTATTCAACTATCCATATAGGACCGCAGCCGCTTCATATCACTCCCTTCGTTTCATATTTTACTTCGCAAAGAAGCGGTACGAGCATCAGCATCGGTCGGACGGCTATGGGCGCGGTGGACGTCCCGGGTCAGTATGTTGCAGCTTGTTAGGGCAAGGGTACTTTTCTCGGAAAAATCGCCTGCGGGCACCGAGTTGTGTCCTGCTATGGTATTGTCTCTAACGTCTTGGGGATCTCGGAATTCCGTCCTACCAGGCGTATTAATCCTACACGTCCTTGGGGATTTATCGTTCCAACTGCCTTTAATTGGTCCAAATGCATCTAGACGTGTGACTACCACCATCAATTATTAGGTTGAGTCGATATGGCTCGGAATGGTAGTGATGATTTCTAGAGATCATAACTTAGCAACGAGTGAACGAAAATGGACCTGCTAGGTACCGTTGGAAAGAGTATAAAGAGCTCTTCAGAATGCAGTCGAACAAGCACTCCAAGCCATGTTTCTTCCGTCCACCCTAATGCCCAAAGATTTCAGGCCGTCCAGAGACACCTTCCGCAATGTCATAGTTCTTTCCTAACCCAGCTAATCGGCCCGAGGAATTCCGCGGATATCGACAGACGCCTGAAGGAAGTCTAACTCGGAGAAATGCCCCGCTAGAAGTACAGTCTACTTGTTGGCAATTCCCCCGAGTTGCGTCGGGCAACTATTCCATCGAAGACGAAGACCATGCGAGACGCCCGAGGGAGCTGGATTTGGACTCGCTGCGGAAACAGGTGGAAGCCGATCCGTATCAAACCACTCGAGATATGGCGACCGCTCTTGGGGTGAGTCAGACTACTGTCGTTCGCGGCTTGAAGTCAATCGGCAAGGTGCTGAAACTCGGTCGATTGGTACCCCATGCTCTGACGCAGCGGGACATGGATCGGCGGTGCGAGAATCCCGACTTTCGGTAGCTCGCCTTGGCCGTACATCAGCCTTTTTCAAGCGCCACCACCATTGGCTCGACGAAATAATCACTGGCGATGAGAAGTGGGTCCTCTACTCTAACTCTCACCGCCGTGCACAATGGGTCGACAAAGATGCCGACGCAAACGACGTCCCCAAACCCAGTCCACACCCGAAAAAGGTGATGCTCTGTATTTGGTGGAGCGTACACGGCGTAGAGTACTGGGAACTGCTCGATGAAGGTGCAACAGTAACCGCCGACGTCTACATTCGTCAATTACGAGAATTGAAGGCAAATGTCCAAAATTCGCAACGGCGGCGGTCCCATGTCTACTTCCAGCACGACAACGCGAGACCGCACATTGCAAGATCGACCAAGGCCGAGCTGCTGTCGTACAGTTGGACCGTGCTTCCACACCCACCGTACTCTCCAGACCTGGCCCCTTCGGATTTCCACCTTTTCTCCCACCTCCAACGCCACCTGGACGGCCAAGACTTCAAAACTCGCGACGACGTCAAGAAGGCACTCGAACTTCTTCGAGGCCCAGCCCCCGGCCTTCTGGAGCAAGGGCATCCACGATCTGCCTATCCGGTGGCAGAAGGTCATCGATGAAGATGGAGCATATTTCAAGTGAACCCCAGTTGTCGTTAAAAAGTTGTACGATAAAGAAAAAATTTGTCAATTTGTCCGAATCATATCGACTCAACCTAATATCTCATCTTGATAGGTTAGTCTGTTGCGCTCTTGTCCGCGCTTATCATCTCTGTCACCGACGTCTCGCGTCCATGTTTACAGCATGCTACGCTTATGCTGAAGAGCTAGCGGGAACAGGGGCTTTCTGCGGTTCCTCCTCTTATTTTCTTAGTTGTCAAATGGAAAAGCATGCAAACACAAACACGTGATCGCTCCACTACCTATGCTTTGCGGTCTTGGAATGGCGTGTTCGATCCTCCAGCCTCTCCATTTTTCTGAGAATGTATGTCGGTGCCTTACTACAGAAAAGGCTCTGAAACAGGGAGACGAGTGTAAGACAAAAATTAATAGCGCGTCATTTGTCTCATAGCATTCAGGAGGTTGATTTCTGCTCTGTTCCCGGCCCTCTCTGCACCGAGCTACCATTTTATATCCAAGCAGTGGTCAAGAGGTAGGGCTTAGCCAATTTTGCACTCAAAAACTCGACACTAATTTTTTCGGAAATTTCTTTACCTCTGTGAATAAGCCATAGAACTTATTCAGTACACAGCTGAGCCGAGACAATCGTCTGTTTTTCTTGCTTATTGCATTTGAAAGAACTGTTTTAATCGTCTATGAAAGGACAACATCAACATTAACATTATTCGATTCACATATGCATGGACAATCTGATGGTGAGCAAAAACCTGAACACTTTAGCATTTTCAAACAGCTCGGTCTTTATGACCACAATAATCTTTTCCATTGTATAAGTCCATCAAAATGACTTTCCCCTCTGTTCACTTCTGCATGCTACAAAACTCTAGATCTTTCTACTCAGAACCCATGTGGAGGGACGGCAATGGTCTTCCTGCATCACGCCATTCGTAGATTTCCACTGCTATAAACTCCCAGAATCCAAGAACCAGATCCGGTTCGACTGAGGGTACAACACCGTGTGTGTAATGGCGGTGTCAGTGTGACCTCCCCCCCCCCTCTAGCTAGAAGGTGCTCATCTGGTACCACCCTCCCTCTCCACCTACCATCTTTTCGAGGTTCCCCAACTTCCGCCACTTTTTCCTTCTGAGAAACGATCCAGTTTTTCTCTCGAAAAATTGACATCAGTCGAGGGGTCGAACTGAAAGTGAGGGAGGAGGAGTTTTGCCTTCAACTACTTATTCATCCATGAAAAATCTGGTAAATAGGAGGGGTATATAGTAAACATGCAGAAACCTCAAAGGTCACATGGAAAACGCTCACAGAGCGTGTTTGTGGAAAAATACTCTGTCAGACTGTCCCTACCTTCCCCGGTTCGACCTTTGCCAACAGTTCAAAAGATCACCCTTATCGTTTTCCCAAAAGGCGTAATTCTGAAGTTTGGGAGACTGCGCTTTCAGGAGCTGTCATAGCAACTGGACATAGTGACAATATTGGCGATCTTTGTCAGTGGCTCTCCCACTACATATTCCATGAAACGCAATCGCAGAATGATCGCAACAGGGTAAGGTATACACAGTAATTTGTCCCAGTATAAGGAGCGATCCAGTTTCACAGTAATTGCAAATGCATGGAGCCATCTCGTTTTCCCCCCCCATTCCAATAAGTTCTGAACAATAGTGAACGGACGTTAAACTTCAAACATCACGGAAAGTACTGTTTGGAGGCATAGCCCGCGATTGCCACCTAGGTTGTGGGGGGCAAATACGAATGTCAAATTGCAATCGTTCTGACGTGGCCCCCCACATGACTTTATTCCTTCTCCTTGAGGAGGAGTAAGGCGTGGCAGTTGAACATGGCAGGCTGTATTACTATTAGGATATTTCAATTTGAGACTACTGTACCTTGTTCTTTGTTGGAGAAACATATTATCACATTTGCCTCGAAATGAAAATATCTTACCAAAAGCACATCCACCGCCAGGTTTAGGTGAAGTACGCAGCCACGCCTAGCACATCTTATGGTTAGAGTTTCGAGTGTACCTTATCTCAAAGTCGTCATAGGCTTCATTGGACTTCCAGTCAACGAACGGAAGATTTGACATTCTGCGGGTGTCTTCGGGGATACCATGGGAATTAAAAAAACTGTAAAAATAAGGAAATAAGTGGGCTATAAAAATGGATAATACTCAAAATCCTGAATTTCGCCTGAGGAGTCTCAGATTAGAATTGGTGATCTGGGACGAAGAACTACACAGACTGTATGATGCAAAAAGTTCGGAGCTCCCTCGCTCAAATCTCCCTCAGAATAGGTTTAAGAGAGCCTCTCTCACTATTGCCAGTGGATTTTCGATGACGAAGTTCCGAACCAGTGAGGTGGGAACTAGCATAGAAAGTTCCGTATGTGAATTTTAATTCCCATGACTGCGATCAGGAAATGTTGTTGTCGGGTCTCCTTTCAAAAAAGGTTGATGTCAAAACATTCGGGTTCAAAGACTGACCGTAAGAGAAATTCAAATAAGGGACATAATATACTTTAAATAATATAGTACTCTGAAAGGAGGGGGACAATTCCCAGTTCCAACAATTTTTTTCAGGAATTCGAAATTTCTCTCATCCGTTTTTGTGGCAAACCTTTTAACAACGATTGCTGCCTCCCAGCAACAACCACTCCCTATGAATTTCCTGTCTTCGCAACAGCGAGAAGAAGAAGAAAACGCCGCCTGGACACCAAAGCTACCATGAAGGTGCTGAAGCATGCAAAAACGGAAATGGACCGTAGTGAAGGGCCAGAAGGCCTACGGGCCTCTACATGCCCACGGCCACAGACTGTCATTCCTCTTGCTTCACTTAGTAATCTACGCTCACGTGTGTAGCATGCGTTAGATCAAATAATTTCCGAGTTGATAAAGACTACAATAGTTAACTTTAAATATTTACTTTGTAATAAATGGTTCGTAATCTTTGAAGCATAAAACGCTGCCTTCGACCAGCTGTGCGAGGCTGAGTAAGCAAGAGGTGAGGCTAACAATAAGTGAGACTAAGTCATCGCAGTGGGTTTATACTTGGTCCCGTGTAGCCTCTAAATGTGAAAGAATTTTCTTTAAAGGCAACATTGTGGGAGATGGTCAAGACAATTGTAGTTTGTCGCGTCGTCGCGCGCAGAACATCGTGCGGCGGTGCGCGGCGAAGCGTCGATTTACATCAGTTTGCCGACTGAAGCAGCGAAAGCCGTGTGAGTTCAAGTGGAGGCACAACTCCATGACAGGCTATGTGAAAACCTTGGGCACCTATGAATTTCCAGGTTTTCACAGCAAATGTTGTCCACATCGAGAAATCCCCCTCCATGATTCCCGTCACGTCGTGCTACTGTGTTTGTGATGCTGCAACCCTTTCCGCCTGGTAGTATTTCACTCGCCAGTCAAAGTCCGCTCGCCAAACAATAGCCTCGGTGACGTCGAAGAGATTCTAATGTCAACTGGTAAACTCGAGCTTACCAACAATCCTTTTAGCATTGCACGTGCGCTAGTGAAGAAGGGAATCTCGCAAAAAACACAGGGAGCAAAATCGTCGTTGGGACCCTGAGCTATGCAAGAAATGTGTCGCCTTAAAAGAGCCCAAACCCTGCCTAATTAGTCCAGCATTCTATGCTCCATTGAACCACCTGCAGAAGTCAAAATTACTAAGTGACAAAAGAAAGGTTTTCACCTTTCTTTCCTTCTTACGTATCCTTTACATCAGGTTAGCCAAGGTAGAAAGAGCTTAAAAGTGTCAGGAGAAGAAATAGCAGTACAGTACTGCAGGCAAATCCACTTGATATCTGAAGGATCTCATTTGGGGTTCAGGCAAATTAGGCCCCAAGCCCACTACCGTAACATTCCAAAGGAAATACAAAATAGTCGAGGTCACTTCCTGGTCAGCGAGACCAAATGAAGACCACTTCAATATTTGCAAAACAAGAGTGAGTCCGCCGCTGGGCGGACCTTTGAAAGATCAGCACCACTAACCGCCAAATATAAGCATTTCGTCGAGCACTTTCTAAGTACTAAAGCGTTTACGTTTAGGTTTACAATCATCTATTCACTTACCTTGTTGTGATAGTTCAGGTCATTTGTCTTTTGGGATTAATAACAATTCCGGCGTTGGTTCAAATATGGCATTATCATTGCATATGCATTCTCGTGCAATAGTTTCTCGGTTTACAAAATTCCAGCTTCACACAGAGTTTCTAAACGGTGCGAATACCGTGGGGGGGCTTCACTTAACAGATGACTTTGTAATGAAGCCACCCATTTATCCATTTTTCTCTTTGCTGGAAATTAGAAAGGAGAAAAAGAACATGAACCACTCCACAGGAACTGTTCATCCTGCTAGACTTGCATGCAAGCGAAAAAACTAATTTCAAGCAGTATTGACCCCCTTACTGTCCTCTCTTTGAATGTCAGTCCTCGTTTCATCGAATTTCTTCTTGGTGTGGATTGTGCCAATCGTAGTGGGGGTAATGTGAACGTAGGAGTGCAAGCATTACATTAATTCAAGTCAAAAATGCTCGTCGCTTGCGCCAAGCAGGCGCAGTTCACTTGGAGCCAGCGCACACAGCGCACACTTGCCACATTTTGCGCCGCGCAGATGTAACATTCGCACTCAGTGGGTAAGCTACTCTCGGGAGAGGTTTTCTGTGGATTTCATGTTTTAAGCCGTTTTGGCGCCAGCGCTACATATGCCGGCGCCTGGCTTTTTTGAACCAGGCTGATGCGACATTGATGCTGAAGGGTCAGACTTTTTTTGTCGTCGTCTAATTCTCGCCAAATCTACTCGCGGCGAAGAACTTCGATCAGCGTCCGGTTTGAACTTAAGAGAGTGGGGTAGAAAAGAGTTACACAGGTCAAGTCCTGGCTGTTAAATGTTGACTGTTCCTCCCATTCCAAATTCCTACCATTATCTGAATGACGCCCTCGTTCCTTATCTAGTAATTTAAAAAAGGCTAATTACTGCTTGCAGAATGAATACGGACCTTATTTTGTTCGCCCTCATGGGTGTGGCATTGTGTGGTACAGGAAGGAGAAGCGATAGAGGTGACGGTGGTGGAGAACGAAAAGGAGGACCCGATAGAGAACGCGGTGGAGGAATGGGGCCATTGGGCCTCATGGGCCTACCACCTCCACCGTATCTTAAATCCGTGAACGAGGAAGCTCGCCGAGAGTTCATTGCTATCATAACGAAAACTGATTTGACGCTCAGACAGCAGAAAGAAGCAGTCTCGCAGTGGGCCCGAAAATTCGACATTGAGGTGAGCATCTTCAAGTAAACAAATAATGGAAGGCTCAGTTACAAAGCTGTCGCTTTCCATGAAAGTCAAACCGCAATTGCAGGAGCAGGTGGAAGACTTCAATGCGAACATCACTCGGTTCAAGGGCGAAATAAGGCAAAACCTCACAGACTTGATATTTGCATTGCCGTCTGTTGCTCAGCAGTTTTCTGCTGTTCTAGACAATGAGGACCAGACCGCAGCTGAGAAGGGAAAAATTGCTCGCGGATTTGAGGGCGGAAAATCCTCAGGTTGGTGACGAGTTCATGACGTATTTATCCTATGCCCTTTTGCCGCATCGCCAGCAAGACTTCTGCAGCCAGATATTTTCAGGTGTTTAGCGTGTTGAAGTTCGCAATGGGTCAGCTTCTACCAAGACATGGACCGTCAAAAGAAGGTAGAATGCAGAGTCGTGGAAGGAAAGGAATGAGAGGAGGGCAGGACGAAAAGCGACCAGAACGAGGACGATCGCGTGGTTCCAAGGGAACTACGAGAAACAACATGAGCGATCGGGAATGGCTTCAAAAGCCAGGTTAGGAGGTAGTTTGATATATGAGATGACTATGGTTCGTTCCACACTGCAAAACGCGGGTACGATGCAAGCCAGCGTCACGTGGGCGATAACTGCACCAGGGTCTAAACTGGAATTGCCGCATAACGTCAAGTCAACTATCTAAGAATCACTAGCTTCTTTGCGTGAGTTGTGGCAACGTTTCAATGCCCCAGCTGCATTGACTTTCTTTTGTTCCATCAGTGAACAACAACTTACGAAGTACTCAAGGAACTGAGTCCACGACTAAGAAAGCGGAGTGAGAAGATCGGCAATACTTTACAGAGGAGCAAACACTTATGTGGCCAAGCGGCTTCCTCCCATTCCCTCAGCACCTTAAATTAGTGATCTACGTTTACCGTGATTTTCTAGTGAGAACAAAATTTTACAGAAATTGGCAGCTACGATGGCGTGGACTTCTGATCTTGAAGAAACGATGACGATCAAGATCATATAAGAGAACGGCAGGCAAATTCGTTCAACTGCACAGAATAAATCTCCAAAACGATCGTCTTGTGTGGAAAGCTAAAAGTTTTACGTGTTTGAAAATCATTTTCCAACTGTTTTCCAGGTCACTGAAACTTATTATCTCACAGCCAGCTTTCCCTTGAAACGTACATTTTGCCTGAGATAATATTGGGAACGGAAACGGTGGTTCAATGGCCACCAGCGATTAGGATATGCAACTCAGGGCAGCATTCCGGCGCAAGTCCAATAGTATGGGTCTGCAGCCCAATATACTCGAAATCCCTGAGATCGGGTAGGCGTGGTTACATGTTTCAACTTAACCTGAAAGCGTCTATGCTTCTGGTGAGATATTTTCATCTTGACACAATTGTTGTCGTGTCTCTGTCAAACTTAGAACAGGATGACAGTTATCCCAGAGAATAACCAGTTCCGTGCCATGTTCAAATACGACGACTACTCTGACTCAGGGATAAGAAGTGTATCCTGTGATGAGCAACATGGCGAGTCAGGGAGAAGCAGAAGCATCTGTCACCCTAGGAACTGCCTCTTTCTGCACAAGTTAATAGACAGACTGGAATATTCCACGAGTAACCAGTTCCGTGCCATGTTCAAATGCCACGCCTACTCTGACTCAGGGATAAGAAGTGTACCTGTGATGCGCAACATGGCGAGTCAGGGAGAAGCAGAAACATCTGTCACCCTAGGAACTGCCTCTTTCTGCACAAAGGAATAGATTTTCCTGTAGCTCCTTCCAGCAAGACAAGAACCCTCATTGTCCAGCAGTATATACCGCCCAATTGGAAAAAGAAGGAAAAATGCCGTCATTGTACCTTTCGGCTGTTAGACGCAAATGCTTTTCATAGACATGTCATGAGGTGCCATGCGAGATACCGTGGCATGTCCCACCATCCTACTGTGTACATAAGCATCCCTAAGATACTACTGCTGTAACATAAGGCATCCTAAGATACGGTATGGCGGAGGCGTGTCTTTCATTTTGGCTTATTTTGCTGAGCTTTTGTATAAGCTATATTTTCATTTTGTGATCGCCACGGCCGGCTTATTACTTGTTCCAGCGCAGGCCCGAGGTTGATGAGTAGCCATTAGCTAAAGAATTCCACAAATAACGAATGTCGCGCGTTTCGAATGAAGGTACGCAGCCACGCCTACGCGTATCGTGAGGTGTGGATGTCAACCAACAACTCATTGGATGACGCTATCCGTTATGTATAATCGGGCCGGCTCATTACGCGGTGACACCGTATGAAGCAGCTCTGATTTCGATAAAGAGTATGGGCCAAGAACATTATTGGTGGGTGACAAGAACTGTAAGCTGCTGATAAGATTCGATAAGGGGCGTTAGAATGGTGAGGTCACCGTGTTCACAGCGCAGGTCACAGCATCAGTGAGGCGTGTATCTCAAGCAAGGTGATACCAAAGAGGGTGACGTGAGGACATAAGATGTGGGGGCTGGAGCGATAACCTCCTGTAGAGCCTGATTAATGGAGTTGGCAAGTCGCCTGTCGAGTCGCTGTGTAAGGCTGGTTCACGCTACCAAATCATAGGAGAATGCGTGATGAGACATTGACTGGGCGGGGACATAGGTAATATCTTATAATTTGAGCAAAAACGATAGATACCAATCTGTGCTATATGTTCTTTATTACTTCCTTACCGCTATAATGCCGAGTATTAAAGGTTCAGTGTGTGAACCCTTCCCTTTGATGGCAACAGAATCAAGGTGTCCAGGAAAGTGTTCGCTTTCAGATGCATGCAATGGTGAGCGGGGGGGGAGGGTGTGCGGTTCTCTTATTATATTCTGTATATCGAGTAACTTCACCAATTGCAAATAAATTTTTGCTATAACGCTGTCCTGCTTATGTTGATGTTGCCTTTATGGTTCTGTTTTTATGTTAGGTGGCTGTCGTATTTATTGGATGGGCATGATAATAAGAGGGAAGTCTAACAATTTGGGAGTGGTGATGCGTTCTTCTATCTGGTTGGTCATTGTCGATTGCTTCTCCGTTTCTTGTGCTGGACACAAGTCTTTAGTTATTATGTACATTGTTAGCAATGTGTTGTAAGTGTTCTCCGTTCTTCATGCCATCTTCTGCATTGTATCTCTGCACTTATGTCTCTTCCGGTTGTTGAAAGTTCATTCGGACTAATCAACTTTACCCATTCTGTTGTCGTAGCTACGGTAATTAATGATATGGTGCAGCCTTCCACCGTTGTAAAGTCTGTAGTAAGCAATGGGGACTAGATGTTGGTAGATAATGACTGATGTTGAGCTATTTTCAACTCATTTTCGTGTATTTCAATGTAAAAATTGCTGTCATCATTTTGCACATTAGCAGCATCCTACTCCGCTAAGGCTGCGTTTATACTTTGCGGCAGCGTAGCGTAGCGCTTCCAGCGTACGCCAGCGGCAGTGCCGAAGAGAGGATGCATATCGATCTAGCTTCACCAGCGTCACCAGCGGCACGCTGGCGTACGCTAGGCGGCACGCTACGCGTAGCGCAGCGTTTCCCGCGTTTACCAAGCGTTGTTGTTAGCGTTTGGCAGGCGCAGGGGGAGTAGAGACTAATGGGCAGAGCTAGGAGGGTAACGAAAACACATCGATTTGTCGCGTCTCACTCACAGTCGCCGCTTAGTCCTACGATGCACATCGCTTCTGCGTCTCCGACGGCCCATAGTCTCTACAATGCACATCGCTTCTGCGTCTCCGACGGCCACATGGTCTCTACAATACACGTCGATTCCGCGTCTCTCACGGCCACATAGTCTCTACTCCCTGCCGCTGCAAGCGCTAGCAAAACGCTGGTGCCGCTGGAGAAACGCTCGAGAAACGCTGGTGAACTAGATCTGATAGGCTTTATGCTTCCCGGTGCCCGTCTCGCTACGCAGCGTGCGCTAGCGGTGCCGCGGCCGTAACGCTTAGCGTGCGCTGAGTCGCATGCTAGCGTACGCCAGCGTGCCGCTGGGACGCGGGAGCAGATCGATTATGCATCCATCTCTCGGACTCGCCCGCTTGGGTACCTGGACAGCGCTACGCTCTACGCTAACGCTGCCGCAAAGTATATAAAACGCAGGACCCGAGGGAAGAGTGGCCGTGGCGAAGCCAGGGGATCTTATCACCCAGCGATCGCCGGGCGCTTCTCCTTGTTTCAACAGCGATCTTCTCAAAGGGCTACACGATCTAATTGTGACCGCTGTAATGTGTAAAGAAACGCATCCGGTTCAGACGTAGTTCGGCGTGTGCAGTATGCATTAAACTTTCCATTCCCGACGAGACACAACAGCAGGGCTTCGCTGAGCGGCAGTAAAGCGAGCGAACTTGGTTTTTGGCTCTGTTTGCTGACAAGCGCGCGTCTACACAGTGAACCGCTGGGGGCTGTGTGCTGGTGTACTTTTCCACCATATCAAGCGCATGCATCTATCGCGCTCTGTACTTGTTCGCCAAGACAGTGAGTTAATGCTGAGCGCCGACTTACTTGCCTACATTATTGAAGCCACGAATACAGCAGTATAGACTAAAACATTAAAAGAAAGAAAGCCTCCTATCTGTTCTTGTCAACCGATAACTTTACTTTTACCTGGTCAGCGACAGTCCCTGTTCCTGACGCCTTAAATTTGGGCAGTGTAAGCGCGCCGTGCTCAATGAAGCGATGACGGCGGGCAACGATCCCGTATTGTTTCCCTTTTCCTTCACGACACTTAGAGATGTTCCCTCCTATCCCCCACATCCCTTGTTGGAATTGACCTCCCACAGTTGCTGCGACTTGCGCTATTAATTTGGCTTTCTTCCCTTTCTATACCCCCTTATCGCATCCAAAAAGCTGCGATAACGTTATGTCACCCACCAATAAAGTTTCCGCCCCAACGTCCATATGTCGCGTTGGAAATTTCTAGCAGTTGCTGCGACCGGCGCTAAGCATACGGTGACCCTTTTTTTGAAGCCAATGAAGCATTTTGCGAAGACATATACTCGAAATCCCTGAGATCGGGTAGGCGTGGCTGCGTACTTGATTTTAAAATGGCGGCGGCCCAGGTTTTCGTGAGATATTGTCATTTTGGAGCAGTCGTAATCATGTCTACATCTAGCACAGAACAAGATAGCAGTTGTTTCAAATTGAAGTATCCCACGAGAAACCCGTCCTATGCCATGCTCAAAAGCCACGCCTACTCCGTCTCAGGGATAAGGAAGTCCATACAGACAGGCCGACAAACAGAATACAAACCGGTACAACAAGCTGGTGGTGTATGGAATAGAGTGACTACAGTGACCGGAGCAGTACCTTCACTGACTTCTACCAAAGAAAGTATTCTTGAGATGAATTCAAATCCAAGGGATTCTGCTCTATAGCAACGCTCTCATCCAAACTGTTAAAAGGAAGGATTTCGGAAATCTATCGTCAGAGCAGACGTTAACATAAGGCGTAGTAGCAACCATGCGAGAACAGAACTATTCTACACGTGCCATGGCCTGCGCGATTGCTTGTTCTAGTCCATGGGAGGT